ATGCCCGCAGAAGAAAGAGATGCTTAGGAGAATTGTTAACTTTTACTTTTCCAGAGTTCTAGGAACCAGGCCCTGTGGAAACGCCGTAGTTCTGAGAATAAACGAGAGGTTGAGGAGGGTTGCTAAGAGCAGGGCAAGGAAAACAGGGCAGTGCCGCAAGGGGAGCCGTTTACAGAGCTAACCTTCACTCAGCTGTAAAGTGTATGTCACCAATGAACAGTGACCATTTGTGTATCTATGTTTAAGTGACTATATGTGTGCTATTTGTGTATATATGTTTATATGTAATTTTATCATTAATAAAGTTAAATTGATCGCTCTATTTAGCATGTAATTTAAATGAAAAATCTTCTTTTATTATAGGTATGCAGTATATATGTGTATTACAGTGTATATCTTTGTGTGTATGTTTGAATGTTTCTTAGTTTTTTGTCACCAATTAAGTTCAATTGATGAATGTAATTAACAAAAAATCTTTTATTATAGGTGTGTACTAGTAGTATACATGTGTATATATGTTGAATGTATTATTATCCATTAATAAAGTTAAATTGATTGCTGTTTTTATGCATATAAAGAAGAAAATCTTCTTATTTTTTAAAGGTGTGCAGTTATGTTTAAATGTTGTTTATTTTTCCTCGTTAATTAAGTGATTTGCTAGTTACATTTATAGTGCTTATTTATGCATGTAAATAAAATATAAAATCTTCTTCCTTCCTTTTTCTTCATGTTTATGTTTCATGTAAGGATCCCTAGTTTCTCATAGCTTCCAACAACATTTAGGCATTTTTTATAATGAAGAGGTTGTTTTGGTAGTTTAGCGCGGAGGAAGGTAGTCTAGTACTGGTGTAACTCCAGGAACGATGGTTAGGAAACTACCCGCCTATATATGACTGAAATACTGTTGGAAAAAGGCGTAAAATAAAACAAACAAACAAAACTTAAGTTTTAATCAAGCCATCCGTGAACTGTTATATCCACATTTATTCATTTATTTATAAATATCAAATTTTAAAATAACCAATAATAGTCAGGGCAGTTCCCCAGAATAGAATTAATCAAAAATTCAACTTTGTAGTCATCCTCGTTGAGGTTCGCTTCCTGTTAGTCATCATCACATTGTCTGTTCTTTGTAGCAACACACAGCTCTGCAAATAAGTCGAACAAGGTTATTTAAACTTTGATAAACGGGTATTAAATACTCGTCGAATAAAAACATATAAAATTAACTTATTACGAATCTATTTGTCGCCTATTTGTTAATAAAGTCGCGTGAAATACGTGACATAATCCATGTCCATAAAACAGTTATTCAAAAGTACTGTTGTTTTCAGAACGATATATGAAGGTTGAAATGACAGATTAACATAGCAAATAAAACTTATAATACTCCAAGCAAAATAACATAGTACATCATTATTTCTTTGTGTTTTGAATTGCCTGTCCTCGCCTACATGAAAATAAAATTCACAAGCAGCAAACCAGTTATGGAAGGGTAAACGGTCCCTGTCCATTGTGAGTCTGAAAAAGAAGAACGATTACAAATTTCAAAATTTAAAATCAAAATAAGTAAACAGACGAAACAGAGTAGAAACAGTTCTACTTTACAGCAGTCATTGGACTGTTACGGAAGTCTTATGTAACGTTTTCAATATGGGGATACATTTAGATTAGAAATGAACAAGTTAATGTCGTATCAATTATGTATCTTTTTATGTAACTAAATATCTTTTTACACATATGTTATATTTATATCTCTACTTTAAACTCAATATGTATCCCCCACTAAAAAAATATTTTTACACATGTACATGTACATGTACACTATTTACCTACCGATGGAGCCGCATACTTGTACTGCGTCGCATTTATACATTGAGGTCATGATTCCGCCATTCAAGGAAAGTTTTTAACGGTGTTATTCGATTTCGCCGTGGTTATTTATATTTGCTGTTGGCATCAAAGATAAATAGAGAAAGGGCATTTTAGCAAATAACAAGATTTTCTTGATACAACTTCATGTAGATCTACTTATTAATTTTCGTACTTGTACATGTGTATCTGGTTTCAAGTTCACAGAGTACATTTATAAATAGATCTACATTTATTATACAAATGAACCGCGAATCACGGCAAATGTTCACGGCAAAATCGCCGCGAGTTGAATTCGCAGCAATTGTCACAAGTTGCCGCGAATTCGCTCGCGTTATAAAGCAAGGGAGTTCGCCGCGAATACGCGAATTGTGCGGGTTTCGCGTGTCCAGTACTGTACATTTAAAACTGTAAAAAAAATGTTTAAAGACTGTTGAACTGTTTCCTGTTCCATGTTGACTTTATAAATGTCCAGTTTATTGTTTTGAAATAACACTTTGACATTGTTTGGTGACATTTTATTTTGAAAACCATGAACTTGTTGAATCATACTCTTGACTTGAAACTTTAATCAACCATAATTTAATATGTGTGTAAAGTACAGAAAGATAATTATTTGACGGTGGATAGCCAAACTATAAGGTAAGACAAATTTTCAGTCATTTTTTTTACAACAACGGCTTGCCATAGTTAATCAATGCTAATAAAGTGTTCTCCCTTTAGGAAGTTGTGTATGCGGTCATGCGTATTGAAGCTAAACATCTTTGACCCAGTTAAGCATAAACTGAATTTCTTACCGGTAAATTTGTAGAAAAGGTGTCTGCTTTGTCACGCAAAATATAAATTATTTAATCTAGCACTGAAAAATAACGCGTACATAGTGGAAACTCTAAGTACGCCGATAATACGGCGTTCCGGGCTACCTGAACTTCGGGTATATGAACATGAAAAAGGGGAAATAATTCTCACAAAAGTGACAGTAACCAATTATTTTTCTTCCTGATTATGTCATTTATGTGCTCAAAAAAAACAAACAAAGTTTAAAAGAAAAGTCTTTATTATTTTTCTAGAAATATGATCTTTTATGTCTTAAGCCCGATTGGGCATTTTAAATAGAAATCAGCTGCGTCAATATAATAAAAATACATGGGGAAAACCCAAAAAGTCTAAAAATAGACTGGTTTTCCGAAATCTATGAATAGCATGTATATGCAATCGCAACTGTCAGCTATTTTAATGGAAAGTTATATTGTATATATAAATATTGAAATATTAAAGGAAAAATAGCAATTACCATTAACTACCACAATGATGTAATATAAAATACGATGTTCAATAATTTTAACGTATACTTTCTGTTTCACTACTTATTAAATTGACTGTATCGCAACGGTACATAGCTTAATTAAAATATGTTGTACTTGTATCAATTTAAATAATATATCTGATAATTATAGATTATTATATTAGCAATAGATAACTTATGCGGGTTTAACTTACGATTGATTTCAAAATCCTTGTTTCGGTAGTGAGTAAAAATAAACCATACGTGACTTCCGGTTCCGGTTGGTCGGATATACATATTTTAGTCTGGTTCCCGTCGTACTATAAAATTTAGTACAAATTTTCGATGAAATAGGTATATCAAACATTTGGCTATCCAAAATGCTGACCTCGTATCTTTACAAACTATTAAACAAAGAATTATTGATATATATAAACAATCATGGGATGCTGAAATTAGAACTTCAAATAGATTACATGCAGTTATATAGCTGGTATAAGAAAGAATTAAAAGTAGAACGATATCTAGATGTAATACCAAATACCAAATAGTAAATTTAAAATAGCACTGACAAGATTCCGACTATCATCTCATGATCTAATGATTAAAAAATGAAGAAATTTAAATATTCCCAATAATGAAAGAATATGTTCAAATTGTAATATGAATGTTATAGAAAACGAGTACTACTTTCTTTTAGCATGCCCAAAATATACTAACTTAAGAAAAACCTACTTCAATCAATATTTTTGCCGTAAGCAAAAATTTATCTCACTTATGAACTTAGACTCTGTTAAAAGTATTATGAATGTCAGCAAATTTGTATACAAAACTTTCCATATGCAATAATTCTTCTTTATTCCAAAACAAATTTCATTATGATAACCTATAATGTTCACTGCTTTGTTTTCTTTTTATCTTTCGTAAGTATTTTAAGTTAATATAAACACAATGAAATGGATCTCCAACCGGTCCATATTTGAATTGCTTTACAAAAATGTTTTCAATTAACACAAAACTTGCTCGTAACAAGTGAAAACTATTCTTTGTAATATGTTTTACTATAGAAACACAACTGATAAATTTCTTGAATTTCTTGAATAATATTGCAATGAAGTTCATTCTTTATCTTCGTTTTTATTACTGCAAAATATTACTATACACTATCATTATCTATTCCATTAAAATTTTATCAATGTCAGTTACTTTACACATTCTACACTATATCTATACAGTAGCGCCCGCTTTTTCCCTCTATATCTATATCGTCCGCGTTTTCTCTATATATTTATATTGTCCGCAAAATGCATATCATGTTATAGGGCAAAGAGCCGACAGGTTTAATCAGGTAGCATGTTGTTGACACTTAAATGTCGTTAATTTGCAACACGTGTCCGTCACACCAGTATACGTGCTTGCCAATACTTTTTTTATCAAGGACCTTTAAACTTTAAAACTACCTTAAAAACTTGAATTTATAAATAACATAGTGTTTTTGTCCAAAAATTATTGTACAAATTTGAATTACATTTTTTTATCATTTTTTTTTTCTTAAAATTTGGTCAATTTAGTATCATTCGTACTTTTTTAAAAATATATTATAAAATCCTTTTTGCCATTAAGTTTTACCACGGATTTATATTACAATTGTAATATAAATCCGTGGTTTTACGTATATGAATATTTAATAATTTATAAATATTATGGTATTTTATTCTATTACACAGCATTTCTATAAAGTTCATCTATTCCCACCGCATCATCAAGAAGTCTACTCTAAATTTCTATATCGCCCGTTTTTTTCCTCTATAACTATATCGTGAGCGTTTTCCCTATATGTTTATATTGTCCGCAAAATGCGTATCATGTTATCTCTGAGTGCCGACACGATTAGTTGTTCACACTGATATAATTACCGCAGCACGCGTATATTGTATCAATTAATCAAAGCGCTGAAAGCACTGCTGGGGGCGCATTATGTTGATTGTATAGTGGTCTATTGTTACAAGCAGATGCCATTCCTACTTTCAAAGCAGAAGTCACATTTTTACTCGATTATTCGATAAGAATAAGTAGAATTATCCTAGTCATCTGAACATCGGCGTCTATCACCTCAATTTTTCCCAAAGTCCATTGACATATGGCATTGAAACTTTGCACACTTGATCCCGATCAGGCACCCATATGTTAAAGATTTGCCTATGGCTTCAAGATATTTTCGTATTCCACTAGACATCTGGCTTTGAAATAAATTTTGAATTTTATACATTTCTTTTGCGAGCATACTAGCTAGGACTCTCTCCAATGCTTATATCTGTAGAATGGGTTTAAAAGAAATTTTTGGTCCTTTTTGTGAACTTAAAATATTTTAAAAAACCAAGGTTCTTCTATTGTCAAGCCACTTAGCATATAGTTGAAGTGTGCTTGTCTACCTCAACAGCTATTGTTTTACATACCTTGTGAAATATAATTAACTCCTTCAACTTTTTTCAGTATATATACAAACACAAGAACTCTCTGAGGACATGTAAGACTCGACTATTCGAAAAAAGTTGTCACAAGGGTGTTTATTGAGTATAAAATGCTTACCCATGAATACATAAAACTGACCGAAAGGTACAAAGGCTTGGATTAAGATGTTTTATCAAGTAAATCACTGCTTTATTATCATGAATGCATAAAATTGTCCCAAAAAAGGGCAACAAACCCTTCAGTTAGTTATGGAGAATAACATGCTTTACAAGCAAAACTTTACCATTAATTTCTTTAAGTTGAAATAGGGGAGAAAAATCAGCCTAAATGCTAGATAAAATTATGGATCTTGGTCAGTAACCTACATGTACAAATTATGATCCTTTAAATGCATTGTGAAGTTTTAATATTGTAGGCAGAGTTATCCAACTTGTCAATTCTGATGTACATTGATACCATAAATAACTATTGTAAGTTTCAATTGAATATCTCAAGCAATAATTTGAGATATTTGACTTTAAAAATTTAACTTTAACCAACGCAGACGCGGCGGGTTACTACAATAGCTCTCATATTTTTTCAATAGTCGAGCTAAAAAACCACCAAGTCATTGGTTGAGATTCCATATATAAATATATATTTATATCATGGAAAAAACATTTCAAGATTGTTAAAATGGATTGTAGTGTATAACAAAGAAAAATCAGTGTACTTTAACTGTATTTATTCCAATAATCATACAAACATCTGTAAAATAACTGGAACAAAATTTTCTTAAATAAACCATACAAAACAAGAGGGCCCATGATGGCCCTAGATTCTCACCTGACTTATCAAACTCATCCAAACAAGTTACCTAGACAAGCATTCTGACCAAGTCTCATGACAGGGTGAGTCAAAAATGGACCACTTACCCAGTGTTAACAAGGATTTATCCATATTTGAGCAGTGCCGACCTAGTTTTTTTTTAACCAGGTGACACATATTCAAACTTGACCTAGAAATCATCAAAACAAACTTTCAGACCAATTTCCAGGATACTTGGATCAAAACAGTAGCAACAAGAGCCATGTCAACA